TGTTTGTTTGTTTGTTTGTTTGTTTGTTTGTTTGTTTGTTTGTTTGTTTGTTTGTTTGTTTGTTTGTTTGTTTGTTTGTTTGTTTGTTTGTTTGTTTGTTTGTTTGTTTGTTTGTTTGTTTGTTTGTTTGTTTGTTTGTTTGTTTGTTTGTTTGTTTGTTTGTTTGTTTGTTTGTTTGTTTGTTTGTTTGTTTGTTTGTTTGTTTGTTTGTTTGTTTGTTTGTTTGTTTGTTTGTTTGTTTGTTTGTTTGTTTGTTTGTTTGTTTGTTTGTTTGTTTGTTTGTTTGTTTGTTTGTTTGTTTGTTTGTTTGTTTGTTTGTTTGTTTGTTTGTTTGTTTGTTTGTTTGTTTGTTTGTTTGTTTGTTTGTTTGTTTGTTTGTTTGTTTGTTTGTTTGTTTGTTTGTTTGTTTGTTTGTTTGTTTGTTTGTTTGTTTGTTTGTTTGTTTGTTTGTTTGTTTGTTTGTTTGTTTGTTTGTTTGTTTGTTTGTTTGTTTGTTTGTTTGTTTGTTTGTTTGTTTGTTTGTTTGTTTGTTTGTTTGTTTGTTTGTTTGTTTGTTTGTTTGTTTGTTTGTTTGTTTGTTTGTTTGTTTGTTTGTTTGTTTGTTTGTTTGTTTGTTTGTTTGTTTGTTTGTTTGTTTGTTTGTTTGTTTGTTTGTTTGTTTGTTTGTTTGTTTGTTTGTTTGTTTGTTTGTTTGTTTGTTTGTTTGTTTGTTTGTTTGTTTGTTTGTTTGTTTGTTTGTTTGTTTGTTTGTTTGTTTGTTTGTTTGTTTGTTTGTTTGTTTGTTTGTTTGTTTGTTTGTTTGTTTGTTTGTTTGTTTGTTTGTTTGTTTGTTTGTTTGTTTGTTTGTTTTTTGTTTTGTTTGTTTGTTTGTTTGTTTGTTTGTTTGTTTGTTTGTTTGTTTGTTTGTTTGTTTGTTTGTTTGTTTGTTTGTTTGTTGTTTGTTTGTTGAGATATGAATAGCTAAGTATAAAACGTTTTTCGTGCAATATTTTCGGACATATGTTGGGTGAAAATGTATCAATAAGCCTATATATGAATGAAAAGATGTGAATTTAGGCACAATGATCGTTAGTCCAGCGGTACAATCCATTCCTCAACGGGAGGTTAATTAGGCATCCAATGTTACACTATTCTCAAATATTCAGGTGAAAGTCCCAGGATAGGTGTACTCGGTATTTCTCATCATATCGTTTCGGTGGCAACACGAATTTGTGTTATACTTTCGCTGATTTTCATTCAAGTTTTCAGAGCTAATAATAAAAGTAAGGAAATCCTAACAGAACGCCTTCATCAGTAGCAAGATCACATTAATGGATAAGCACTAATTTGTGATTAACATTGAAAGCAAGATTGAAACCCGCTACCTAGTTTTCAGCTCCCTTGCAGCACCATGTGATTATGCGAAAGGACACCGTTTAACAACAAGAGCTGGGTGGGGCGAATCTTTCGGACAAGAAAATTGAAAATATACTTGTGCGTCAACCTTTTACTCGGTTTTAATTATACACATCCTGTTCAGTCATTAATTGTGCAAGAAAGCCGGCCGTGCCTTTTATTCTGTCACTTCTTTCGAGGCTGAGCGCACACAGAAGACTCACCCAGTTGCTCTTAGAATCTCAAAACTTGTTATGTTACTCACATTATTAGAGATTGTTCTGTTAAGCAGTTTGACCGTTGATGCATGAGGTACAGTACATTTCCAATGACTAAGCCCATAAAATGCCGCATTTCCCAAATTCCGTTGGATCTTCCAATGCAATTTTGGTGACCGTTTTGTTAGTTTCTCGTGGCATTTTAACCTTTGGTATGCTTTATCCATTCAGGCTCAAAGCCAGTTACATGAAGCCAATCCAAAATCGCTCATCTTTCACACTCTTTCGGTATTAGCGAGCTGTGTATCGAAAACTAGGTTAAGTTACCTAAGCCTGCACAAGTGCGATCGAAAACCGGGGTTATGTTCATTCCAAGTATGTGTTCGTCAACAACTTTGTATCCAGTACCCTTTACCATGTTTAGCATTACTCGGGCCGAGTCAAAGCTGACCGAAGTTGAGCCGGACAGTGTGCACAACGATCAACATTAAACATGCTCTAAAGAGGACTTTCAAGCAGAGTTCACAGTAGATTTCTTTGTAATACCAGCGTTGGCGTAGTCGAGCAAAATATAAACAGGGCCTTCACTTTGATGCGCCAGTTTTGCATTATCGTAGTCTTTGCGTCTAAAAAATATCGTCTATGTCCTATGTTGGTTCGGGGTGGCAACTCTCCAATAGAAATGCTTTCCGTGAGAAAACTATCAACAGGAGTGTCAAACGTTTATCAGGAATAACAACCAATTTTGTAATTAATTGGAACAGGACTGCCATCAAAAGACGTCTCACAGGGGGTGCTTCGAAGTAGAATGAAACTGTCCGTTTAATGCAAGCATGAGAGGAGTTAGAGGATTTTAACCATATTACTGTCGTGGAAGTGGATGCTATCTGTGCCGGAAATCATTTTGTAGTCTCATCCTCACGGAGTTTCATTAACAGCGCGCTCCTCACAGCACTTCTCCAGGTTCGACGTCGAAACCTCTCAGTGTTCATTCGTTCAATCGTGAGCGACTTACTAGTAGTATGATTAACTTGCAATGACAAGGGGTATAGCGTCACTTATTCTCAACTCCGGGAGCTCCCACCTGCGTTGATGGACTTATCAGATGACGGCGTCTCAGATAAAATATTGATTTTGTCGTGTGGATCCGTAGGACAATATGATTTGGAAATTTTTAGATTTCGCTGACTAAGGTAATCAAATAAACCCAGTAATGTTAGCAATGCATGTTATATTCTTAGCCATATTGAGAAACCGAGCGATCACATGTGTCAGTTCGAGCTTGGATAGTGTACTTTCAGAGCAGCAAAGAAGGTTCAAACGACAAGAAGTAAGCTCATGATGATGTATGTTGATTACCCTAGTCAAAATGAGGATTTCCCACTTGCCAGTCTTGAGATAAACAAAGGCGCTTTACACACATTATTGTAACAGATAATACACCTGTAGCATGCGTACTATAGCCTGAGGAGCTCTTTTAAAAGCCAGAGTGAGTGTATAACCCAACTGTACATTCAGACCATCCGGAACAATTGCGCCGGGTGAGGATGAGTAATGCTCAAACCAACATAGTATGAATGTGAATACTGAAACCAGGACTAGACGCCGCACCATCCCCCACAGTGGTTCATTCCCACATAAATGAACTACTTAATCTCATACTGATACCAGAATTCAACTAGTCTTTGGTGTGTTCACCCACATTTTGGTTTCATAGTAGTACACTCAACCTAATCCGCTGAACATCGAAATAGCAACGAATACACTGAGATACGTCTTGCATAGATAACGTTGTTGTGTTCAAGCGTCAAAGAAACCTGCTGCGAGACCCTCTTAACAGATTCTGGAAACCCCAAAAGGAAGCACATGAGGACAAGAGAACAGAAAAGCTCCATTCACAATGGGAGATGAAAATGATATCTGTATATTGGTCTCCAATTTTTTGGAGACACATCTCAACGTGCTGGGTGCAGGAGTATATGCTAACAAATGCCTAGTTCCCTCGATTTAAAACACAGTTGGTTCAACCATACACGGTACATATAATCGTATCTTGTCTTGGTGAAATGAGTTAGAATACGTTAGACGTACGACTCAGCAAATGATTCAAACGATATTGGCAATAGTCAGCGTTGAGAGATGATAGCCAGCGCCACCGTATAGAATCGAGCCAACACGTCACATTGTTTTATGTTCAGCAAGGGATTTCATGTTTTCTGCAGAAAATTCTTGATCAAACCAAGATCGAGCAACACTTCACAGTTGTGATCGTTGTCCCTTGGCAGGGCCGCAATATTTTGTTGTTACAATGAACTTATCAGGAAGCTCAGATTTCTGAAAGCAACCTCAAAACGCGCGGAACCTATTGCTCCGCCAAAATCTCAGCAAGAAAGCCGGCAAGCATCCAGGCCGGTCAATCATTCAATCACCCATTCAGCAAAAGCTGTTGAGTGTTCTTGCACGCCACAGCAGCACGACCGAATGTGATCAGCGTTCAGGCGTTTCATAGAGGGACGGTCGATGTTGATGGGTGTTCACTAACGCCTATCAGACAGCCTGGATCAATGTCAGAAAGTCCCCTGTAAATAGCGTGGGGTCATCATAACTTTCGCTCTCGCACTCGCTTGTTCCGAACACAGCGGTTGTGTTCCCTTCTGTGAGTCTTTTTTCTCCGGCACTAGGCACTGGAGCGAGTTAGCAGCAGATACTACAGGTCGGCGAATCAGTAGATATAACACCGGGTAAGAGCAAACAACCAATGAGACGTATCCATGACGTACGCTCACTGTACATATAATTGGACCCCTGTACATCGGTAGCTTAACCTGTCCAACTGTACAAACAGACGATATCCCTCCAAAACTCTGTTCGCCACATTCTCCGTGTTACTGCTGCCTAAAAGACTCTGTTATCGACGACCAACTCCTAAGGGATGCGTGCCCAAACGGGTTATTTTTAAACCATGCGAGAGTGGTTTTGCGTCTCCCTGTTTTTCAAGGACAGAAACTTCTACTTACGGAACAAACACAACCCCAGTTTTCTTTGTAATTACACCCTTTTGGATCGACGAGTGTTCTGCCCGCTGTATATTTTCCAAGAATCGCACAAAACCCATCAATTTGGTGATACCTCAAAGGTGGAAATGACTGCGAGAGCAAACACTAGACATGTAGGCTGTAGAACACCCCTTGTTTTTAATACATCTATATCACTTGCCTCTAATTATCCATAGGATCGCGTGTGCTCAGCTTCTAAGGTAGATACAAGAGGACCGGTAAAAAGTAAGAGCACCTACTGTACAGAATATCTCAAACTGTGCAAGCCCAAGAATCACAGTAGTGGTTAAACAACAGGAAAGTTAGCGTACAAAATTATCGGCCAGTTTTGTTCATAATTCGGTTCACCTGTTCAGCAAGGAAGGTGTTCCATCAAAAAACGCAGAGTGGAACGCAGTGCTTGTGTCTAACTTCCATCATGTTCAGAATAGAAATTCCTGAGATTTTTCTACAGCAGTCTGTTAGCAGAGCGCTGACTGGAAGCTTTTTTCAGTCCAGTTGATCCGATGAGTCTGGCGGTGAACAGAAGCTATGTTAACGGGACAAGAAGATAGAGGGGACAAATCGAGTAGGACAGAAAATTATTTGTCCTACGGCACCTCTGCTACATGGCGTGTTTTGAGCCACATGTGCCAGATATTCTGACCCCGGTCGGTTAGTGCGTTAAGCGAACAATGGAGTCGTCCGGGCTTTCAATGGCAAGTGACTCTTCGATCACCTCGAATTTCACACAAAGTGGATGCAATTTCGTACCGTACTGTGAGATCTTTGGTATTTTCGGTCTCGAGAAGAGAAGTATGCTTGTGTGATCCACTTACTAACATGAAAATCGTTGATCGAAGGAGGAAAGGCTTTCCAGAAAAGCCCAAAGTTTGCATCTAAAGATGATCAGCACGAGTAACTATTTCAAAATTTGATGACTGTACCGGTGTATCGGAGAATTGTAACATAGTTGCGCAAGAAGGTCTTATCGTTTGCGAAGAAAAGAGAGAGGATGAACATATCCGATGAAAGGTAGTCGCCAAAAAGTTAGTTGAATTAACATGATCAACCTCAGGGACTAGTTTCCCTTCATATCACTTTCTAAGCAGGGAGCTGCTATTTCTCTTTCCTAAGTTGATGGCTGGCAGTCCCTTGTGTATTTCGCAGCTTCCAACGGTATCCAACACTTGCAGAATGCGGCGAATTTCGGGATCCTGTCGTTGGTATTTTCATGGTCCACTTATTGTCAGGCGACATATCGCTGCATTCAGTAATAATTTGGTGCTTTTTCCACGCTACTCCTTCCCCCCACAGTTGGCTCGATCAATGCGGTGTCCGGCGGCCAAGTTTGCCACTCACGTGGTTTCTCATTTCTCTTTCCTCATCCTTCTGGCGGCGGCCACATTCCGGCTGGAAGAGAACTACGATGAAATGATGGATCAAGAAATGGCGGGAATAGGAGATACGAATTCCGTCCGCGAATGGGTGGCCAAAAGTTTTCGACCTTCCAAATCTATTATTACACACGTACAAATTTACATCGTGCTTTGGGTTGCTGGTGAGTTGGTTATCTTGCAGTGCAGTTTTTGTTTCCTGAATTTGTACAACAAGTTCTTTGGTATCCGCTTCCTATCGCACTAGTGCTAAACTCTTGACGAGTGGGAGAAAAGTCGTAAGGGTGTCTTCCCAGGACGAAAGTTTAGAGTGTGTGACCGACCTGCGACAGTAACATTTAGGGATGTATGACTTGTATCGATTCGGAAGTATCCAGCATATGACGCACTATTGCCTTTTCTGTTGGAAGCATTTCCGGCCAAAAGTGACAGTGATGTGTGAGCAGCGAGTTAAAAAACAGCGGAGAGATTATGCATACAGGTATGCGACAGATTTTTGAAAGTAGTCCTTGGAACAGCGCCTCAAACGGAAGCATGGCGAGACAACACAGTTTCAAATCCATGATTTCGACACGTCAACATTTTTATCCGGCACGAACGCCAGACAAATACAACCCCACCTTTTGCTCACACGGTGTAGTGAAATGGCTCGGTCTCAGACTCGTTCCTATTAAGACAGATGCACTTCCACAGAGGAGTGTGGATTGATCAGACAGAGTGATCATGAACATCAATCTACCGGATTCCGTAGACCTGGGTTTAGTATTACCACTGGTGCGGTTTTAAACCTGATTTCAGTAGTGTGACTGCGCAACTAAAGTTAATCATTTCACGACTACGAAAATTGTGCAAACAGTTGTAAAAAGTAAATTTATTTTGTAAACAGTTTGAGATCACAAAACTGAGTTGAATCGTATATTTTCGTCCTCGGATGCTAACTATGTGCAGGGCTTTTCAAGGTTACGTAGTGCATTACCCTCAAGCAAGGAGGACCGCACGCTTACCTACAGGACAATGTGCCCATAAAACAATGGGGCAGTCTCTTACAGGCATCACAAAAAACAACCCAAAGTAGGCTCTACAGACACTCCTTATCCCTCAGAGGAGCGTCATTTCTAGTGAAAAAAAACTGAAAAAGTTCATCCCACATTGCTAAACTACTCTTCTGTGATTCGTCAATTACGGTTGAACTTGACGTTGCAATAAACGGATAGAAAATCTTATAAATGCATTTTGCCGGATAAGTCGGTGCCCGCCTTGGCGATGTGTCGAATACGTTGAGGTCCTAAAGAGAGCTTGCTTTTAACAGAAGCACGAGCTACGTTTGTTCCGCAGGTGCGTGCTCTTTGGAGAGTAGAACTGTGGCTGCGTTCCACTTGTCCTGCACAGTATACACAGATCAGGGCCCCCAAAAAATTAAAGTTCGATTTTACAAATTTTACCTAGCAAGTTCAGCTCGAAGCAGTAAAAGTGAAAGGTAGCTGCCAAATTTCCACCACTCTGCACGAATCAAGCCCTCGTTGCCATAAAAAAAACCTTCCACTCTGATAGCTTGCAGTTCCTGGATTGTAATTAGACCAAGTGCGAATCCCAAGCACTATATCAAAGCGCACAGTTTGAAGGCTGAGAATGATCCTCTGCAAACGACTTCGAACCAGCTCGGGGACAGTTAGGTTGGTCCGGATGGTGTAGTTCTTGTTTACCCATTGAAAGAAAACGTGAAGTGGAACCGCAGTATTTACGTCCCGCCATCCAGAACCACCAAGCTGTTCCATATTTCTTTTGCCACAAGCAAGACTTGGGATTCATGGATGTTGACAGAGTCCTCTATGATATCACAAGTATTGTGAATTCATACACAGCAGACCCGTTTGACCTTATCAAACGCTAATTTTTATCCCGTTTGCTTCCTTCCCTAGGTCTGCTCTTGGCCGATGTGAAGCACATTTATTTCGCCGGGTTCAGGTCCTACATTGCCAATTCATACAATATTTTAAATTTTTGCATACTCTCCATGTACATTGGTTCCTACACTCTTCGAATCATCGTCGATCGATGGGTTCGCGAATCGGATTTGTACTTCAATGCTACAATGCAGATCAATTATCTGTTGAAAAACAACGACAGTCAACTCATCCACAAGTTGGTCCGAAACTGGACCAAGTCAGGTCCTTTTGACAAAAGTTATTTCATTACAGCATGTAAGTCTGCTCCTCTTCTAATCGGTATGCGCACGCATTCGACCAATTTTCTGTTCATCCATACCTGTTGGCTTCAGATGTTCCGGATAGTCCCACCATCAATTCACTCTTATCTGAGCATGCGTAGACGAAAAACAAATTTATCATCGTATGGGGGCTTGGGAAGTCTGCAGCGCATAAAAACTGTAAATAACAAGCTGCGGGTGTGAACTGAGCATGCGTGTGTACGTGAAGCATTCCCAGTCTGTGGTTCAAACAACCTGCGTTGAGTGTGGATAGCCTAAATAATTGCACATAATTGATTAGTGATATTGAAGGAATCCCGTGCTCTGATCTGTAATTTTGTCCCGCGCTCAGCTACCTGAATATGCAAAGTCCTATCGATAATCTTAGAAAGTTGGAATTGGTGAATGAAAAAACAACTTACGGTACGTATTTTTTGTGGATTTCTGAAGCATTTTTCAGAGTTTTTCGTTCCATTAGTAAGCATTTCGCACAGCTACATTGGTTGGTTTCATCGAGCCCAAAAATCTATCCGTATATTGCACTGAATAACGCTCTACTGATACAGAACGACATGTTAGACGTTTGATCTACCGACTCAATCCTGTTAGTGTAGAATACCGACCAAGCTAAGTTATCACTTCTTACGAAATAGAAATGGAGTTGGTAGATAAATGAATGAATAATGAAAGTATGTACTTTTGAACATCTCCACGTGTATTTTTGATTAACACTTGGGGGTCACTATTTAAAAATTTCATTTTTGTTGATATTAACAGGTTGTGTTAACACTGTTACTGAAAAAAAGTTTTTTTTAAAAAAACGATCGATCAGTAGATTGCTCTTAACATAAATTTCAGGAGCTCTTTTCTACCAGAACGTTACAGCCAGAAGTCACGTAACCGGTTCTATGGAATATACTTTCCTTCTTGGTTCCAGCACGTTTCGCAAAGGCTCCTCAACCAATACTAAATGTTTGCAGTCTCGTCAGGTTTACGTTGAACTAGAGTTCTTCGCAATCCGAACCCACTGTTTTTTTTTCTGAGTAGCAGCGAACAAAAAACGGTAGTTTAGCAGATGAGTATAAATGTCGCCCACGTACTGTTCATGATGTAGTGAGCCTCGCTTGTAGAACCCATGCACACCAGCCGAATACCCATCTGGATGGATTGCCCACGTGCTAATACATGTTACAACTAAATGTCCTGGACGAACAATATCTGGTTGCTGGTTTTGGTAAATCTGAGGTCGAATCTGAGTCGAATTTGGGTTCAAGTAGAACATAAGGTTGACGGAAACTCGAGGACTGCGCCTACCTGATAATCCCCAAGAAGGGCGAAACCGGTCTTGGGCTGTCGAAGAATTTTCGGCAACCTTTTGAGTAGTTTCATTTGTGAATCTGAGGTTTCCTTGATCTTTTGGACGGCTGATTCCTTGCTTCAATAATGTCAAATTCATCTCCAGAATATACGAGAATCAACCGACCCAAATGTACTGTCGTTTGGTCAAAACATTTGTATCGATTCATTAGCGGGTCCTCTCCTCATCCATGTTTCACTGTTCCTCAATCGTCATTCCAATATTGACAACCTGATTCCATGTGGCTACCGTTTTTGTCGTGTAAGGTTGGTCACAGCAGAGTTATCATGGGTCGTTTACCGTACCCACTGATGCTGAAGAATTACAAGCAGCAAGTGACACGGTCAAGACAATCTGCAGATAATTCTTCTGCAGGCGACTGTGTGGTCAACACAACCGCACCACCAATCGAGATTGTAGGTAGTTAGGTGCTGGTGGATATCCGTTTTCGGCTACAACAGTCCTTGCGCTAATGTCGATCTCGAAATGAATACCTAACTGAACAAGCATAAGAAAACAAGCGTGTAACTATGGAGGGAAGTAGTTCAAACAGCTCATCTGTTGGAGTTGCCAAACGCCTTGTTTGAAAGTGTCAACTGAATATGTGCTCTGGTCTTTGGTTTGTTCGCTGAGCTGGGAAATTTAGTTGCAAACGTTTCATCACCAGTCGAGGTGATATCATCGGTGCTTAGTTGTGTGTAGCGGTGGGTTAGTGGACCAAACTAATATACATTTTAATCCCCAATTAAGACCCGCGAAGACCAGTACCTAACTTTACGTAAGTCCACGTGTGACATAGATCTCGCTCCATACGATCCTCAGTGGACAATTCGTCTTGGAGTTCGTTGTTCCTGGACTAACGTTGTCCCGATACTGATGCGCGAAGATCAGTGGTGATTAACCTGAAGGCTAATCCAACAGTTATCCAGCTGTGGAAGGAAGGATAAACACTCTTGAAGTATATTTGGCGAGACTGATCGTGCCATAATACATAATTATTGTTCCCTTATTTTTGGCTGTTACTGTAGAACAAATGGGAAATTTTGGTGAAGCACAATTTTGTATTCTTTCGACAAACATAATTTTGCTTTGTATCGCCGTAAATCTCGGGAACATGAATGGAAAACCAATCAGGTGGAACAAACTCAGATCATAGGGCAGGAACGAAATGGCCCAATCACAAGGGAGGAATAGAACTGTCGAATCGAAGGCGCTTAGCGAGCGAACAGTTAAAAATAATGCGATCACAAAGCAACGCATATTCATAAGTGACCAAACAAAATAACGGGGTGGTCACCCTGGGATCCAACACGTATTTTAAAGTCAGTTCAAGTTCAGAGGTCGCACAAGTTTTAAAGGCACATCAACGCATATTCATAAGTGACCAAACAAAATAACGGGGTGGTCACCCTGGGATCCAACACGTATTTTAAAGTCAGTTCAAGTTCAGAGGTCGCACAAGTTTTTAAAGTCACATACTCTTCCGAACCTATATAACCACAAACAGAAAAGGAATAATTTACCCACTAATCCCCACACTGCCAATGTCAGCTGGATCGATGATGGTACTTTTGCAATCCATCTGTCAAACTTGGCGAACAGACAAATAACCATGGGAGCAAATATACCATGTAATCGAGCGGCCCTATAGTCACTGATCATGTACGTAACAAATGGCAATAAAAATCAGGTGAAAAACTCCAAAATACACTGAGGTGTCAATATATTAGCTAAAATAAGGTCAGAGTGTAACCATTCTAGACCAATACATGAAGGTAGGAAGTCGCGATTTTTTTTCGGCTCAAAGAGGACCGCTCATGCAGCCACTCTGTTGCCTTGGACCACACTGTTGTTCAAAGTCCGTGCTGTGCTCTCAGTAAAAATGGAGACCATGAGACTGGTCACATTGCTCCCCAGTTTTAGCAATGAGGGGACAACAGATAGAATACCAACCAATGGGACCGCGCGACCCAACAACCAATCGTAATCGAAGGTCAACACCGACTGGCGGCAGGCTCGTCAACACATACACACATACATAGCGCACGCTCACTGATCGATCGATGCTCTCCACTTTACTAATTAATAAAGCTCTGATGATTTCACCTCTATTGTTGATGAAACGCTTCCAGTCAAACTGCCCACTTCAGCGAACAATGCAAGGACCATCAACAGCTTAAAGTTCGTGTAAGGGAAGTAATTAACGCTGTTACAGTTTACTGACTTTCTACCTTATTTACTTTCGACGCATTGCAACAGAAAATGCGCAAGACAGGCATCCTCAAACAGTTCTCATTTTTCCAGTAATCACAGTGGGGCAAATTGTGACATGCGATTGCGTCCGATTCACAGCTTGTAGCAGACATTGTTTTCAATCCTAATGCAATTTTAGATCAGCCATTTGCCATTAAAGGAAAGATGCTAGCTCCAGCAGGAGAGGATATCAGGAGGTCAAAATTTTTATTCAGCTAGAATAATAAGGAATTTTCATGAGGGGAACTACTCTAAAGGTTGCTGAAAACTCTACGACAGCCCGCGACCGGTTTCGCTCTTCTTGGGACTCATCAGGTAGGCGCAGTCCTCGAGCTTCCGTCAACCTTATGTTCTAATTAAACCCAAATTGGAAACACCAAATAGATTTGCAAATGAGTGTATTTCTCGAGAACAGTCCAATTTGCCTTCAAGTAGAACCTAAGGTTGACGGAAACTCGGGACTGCGTCTACCTGATGAGCGCCAAAAAGGGCAAAAAACCCGTAGTGGGCTGTCAAAGAGTCTTCAGCAATCTTGTGAGTAGTTTCCCTCATGAAAGTATACTGCGATATCTTGAATATCGTGCCAACATGAGGCGGTCTGTGTGCAGCATATTCAGTTGTAGAATATCATAAACGAGAGATTCAGTTGAGTCTCTCGTGAAAACCAAACTGATTTGCAAATGAGTGTATTGCTCGAAAATAAGGAATTTTATTACGTCAAAGGAACCGGCTAATGTGACTCCCCTAGACAATTTGATCATGCACATGGGGCAGACCGGCTTCATTTAGAAACACTTGGTCATTCTATATTCACTCGATTGTAGTATCTTCCGAGTGACTAATTATGACATTCGCGTAGCACAATCCCATTTTTCAGCTTCTGGTAGACTAGCAAGTTAGTTAGGAAAGGTAAACTAGTCTGGGATTTAATTTTTTTCATTTTTTCCACTGACTCATCTAGAATTCGCTAGTTTCACGGGGTCGTATTCGTTCAGTCGAAACTTTCTATCCCCGTGGACAAGTCAAATAACGGTTCAGTCCCATTTCAGACTGACTAAGTATTTCAGTTCTATATAAAATGAAATTAACGCACATCCCCGTATGATAAAGCAACTAGCCCCTACTCCGGACTACCCATATGAACACAACCCAAACTGTCATTTGACTTACAAAATCGTCTGTCATACGTATCGTGTGCAACCTGTCCACTGTGAATTTCGACAGTCAGTGTCACTGATGAAATGCTCGAATGGGCCATTAATCAATTTCAAAAGTTAATCCACGTCAAAATATTTGGTGTATATGTTATGGGATACGGTCAATAAGTTGGTCTTATTTCGGGCTGACAGAGGTCGACTCATTGGTGTTTTCAAATTCGTTTCGTCGGGCCTTCACTGCTACAAAATAACTGAGCATTTTGTGAAGTAAAATTTGTGAATCAGAAGGAGGTAAGTGTTTTTCTTCTAATCCATGAGCTCTACTACTTTCTTGTACCCAGGGGTTGCTGTCAATCCAATTGTACTTTTCGGTCAAAACTAACAACCCCACATCAAGACGGTTTAAGTAAAAAAGAATCATTGTTCTATTGCACACA